GGGGGGGGAAAAGCTGGGAAGCATCACAAGGAGGGAGGTGGGATGGAGGGAGAGATGCCTGGTGAGAAGGAGCTGTGCTCCTCAGTAAGTCACTAACACTTAAAAACAGCCAAAAGAGGAACATTACTTAGAGGCGCCAGCCAAGGGCTCTATCGCTCTTCATTAGTAATCACAATTAGAGCGCCCGTACAGGAAAAAAAAAAAGTGATTAATCTCAGGCAGGTGATGGGGTGAGGTTGTTGCTGCCTTTGGTCCTGCAGTGAAATATCCTTCTTATTTGTACCACTCCTAAATTTACACAACAAAGGGAATTTTCATTCCCGGATCTTTACAAACACTGAGTGAGAAATTTACATTCTGGGGGGGGAGGGTATCTATAAGTGAATTAAACCCCTGATTTTAAAAAGCAAGCTGAAATTTCAGATTTCATCCCTTAATACACCAACCTATTATGGGACCCAGGTAACTGCCTTTACCTCTGCCCTGTCTCTTTGAAAACTGGAGTAATCAATTGACCAGCTTGTCTCACGGGAACATCTCGGTGGCTAATTAGTTAACATTTGTACAGAACTTTGAATGTGCTGTGGCAGCAGCCTTTTACATGGTTTTGGATTTGCACAAGAACTTGGATTCAGCGTGGCTGCACATGATGGCTGTAACAGTTGGGGAGTGATGGTCACAGTGGAGTGAGGAGCTTTGCGTGTCTCCATTGCAGAAGACATTGCAGTGACAGAGCCTTTACCAGAAGACAACCAACCATGACTGCACAGAGAGCTTGATAGGCCAAACTTTCCCTGAATCCCTGCTACCTTAGTTTGTATGGTGTTATTTTTGGTTATAAATCAACTGCTTTTCAGTGTTTTCACTCCTGACCCAAATATGCACCCTGCTCCTCGCCTGCCCTTGTCCCCCTTCGGTGAGCCTGGATCTCCTGAGTGTGTAACACTGCAGTTGGTCCACCACTTTCAGCCCAACAGGACTTCAGTTGTGCTTTGCTAGACCTACTGAGTAAATACCTTTCGCGAACTTCTACTCCTTTACAAGATAGGACAAAGTTCTGCTTCCTGGAATACAGGAAGCCACCTCAGCGCTGTTATTCATATCCTAATACTGAGCCCCAAAGCTTCCGTCAGTTCCACAAGCTGGGGGAAAATCTTCCTGCCCAGCCTGCTTCTGCACACTCCTCCTTGTCTGCTTTCGGGGAGCTTACATCTGCTCTGTGCACACAGGACCCAGTACAGCATCAACCAACGCTCTGCAGGCAATTTAGATACTTAAGGAACTTGTATTTGCCTTGGCTGAGGATGAAGACTTGCATCTCTTACACCAATTTTAATTAAAAGGTGGTACCAAAACCTACCTGTGTTCCAAGACGATTTCACACAGTCTTTATTTTGCCAGATGAAGACTCTTATCTCCAGAGTTTCACACACATAGGGAGTAGCGTAGCACTCACCATCACAATCTAAAGTAAAGGAAGAATGTTGAAGGTGATCACTTGAGAGCTAGGCCAGATTTTCCGTCTTCTATTTCATTTATTGTTTCTCATTTCTGCTTCAGAACTATTTCTGTTCATTCAGAACTTGGAATAAAAACAATTGTCTTGCCAGAGCCCTTAGAAACTGTGGGCAGAGATCCTGTCAATACCTCTTTGTGAGCCTTCATGAGATTGTGCCTCTGCATTTCTTGCCTGTTATGACAATGGCTTTTTTTTTTATAATGACAAAAGCCCTCATTCAAAAACTGGTTTAAATCCATGCTATACTTCAATTATGTTACTAGACATACTATTTCCATTTAATAAAATATTTAGGCATGTGCTTCAGTTGTATATGAGAAAAATGCAGTGATACAAGTCACATTCAGACTCAAGTGTGTGCACAGCTGTGATGCCACACTGTATTGCAAACTGCAATTTTATTCAATTCCTTTCTAGTTTTTCATTTAGTATTCATATTTCTGTGTGTTTTTCTGTAGATACACAACTGTGTATTTGTTCCATAATTGCAGGCTTACTAGGTATTACATTTCTTGTCCAGTATCATCTATATTTTTCACCATCTCACCGCTCAGCATGATCTGGAAATATAATTAATACCCCATTTTCTTTGTCCCTTACTCCCCATCTCCTCCTCCTTAGCTGAGTTTTTATGAGTGGAAGATACACATGTGGTTAAACATTTGTAACATCACATTTAAAAGAGCAGATGTTTCAGGGTCAGAACACATTCCTCTCCATCCTACCTCATATATTTGCTTCTCCTGCTTAGGTCTTTTCTTCAGTGAAGCTGGTTTTGAAGGGATTTTTGTCTGATTACGTCCTTTTAAGGGAAAAGCAAATCACTGCGTCACATGAGCTGAAAAGAGAGTCCATGGCAAACATCAGACAGTTGTGAAACAAAAGTGACCAGACACACACGCTCACCACAATGAAAAACGATGACAAACCGTGTACATTTTAACAGCTGGGATTAACAGCAGGCATCCACCTCTCAGCGTGAGTCATTTCCCAGTTATTTCTGTGCTTGATTGGATCAGCACCAAAGCTGTAAATCATTTGTGGGGCTCCAGGTGTGTCGCAAAAGGCATGACCCAGCGAACATCACATCCCATGAGTGGCTATGCATTTGAATGAACATATAAGCCCCTTTAGCCAGGTGATATATACTGAAGGCTGCTGCTTTGTGGAGAGGAGAGGTTTGAGTCTCACACCTATTCCCCATTGGTTCTGATCTCAAGCTTACAGTTTTTTTACAATCTTATAAACATAAATAATTTCCTATGTCAACGGGCCTGCACATAGTAATAAACATACAGGCTGGCAACTTAATGCTGGTATTCATTTGTGCTTTGTGTCATTGCTGTCTAACCTTTCAGAAGCCATTAATGACAAATTTCTGCACAACTGGAGTAAATAGAAATATAACTTGCTACTTATATCCATCTCCCACAATGAGATTCATTAGGTTCAATATGTGCGTAGTTGTCTCATTTATTCTCACACTAGACCCTAGGACACTTCATTTCACTGTAACCAGCTAAACAGATCTAGCTTCATTTAAGCTGAGTCACCTAGGCTCCTTTTATAGTCAAAAGAGATAAATCAGTACCTCCAAAGGATGATAAAAGGTAAAACAGCTTCTAGAAACATCTCCCTTCTCCCTTAGCTACAGAGGAAGATTAGATGAGTCGTTTAAATAGCAAGTGTTAAGAGAGGCAGGTGGGTTACAAAACTCACCTGTAGTCCATCTCCCTGGTGACAGCAGGATTCATATACACAGTTCATAAGGAAGAAGCAAATCTGTGAAAAACAGCAGCACAAACACACATAGTTACCATTGCTTTTTTACTGCTTTCTTACGAGATTAATGCTCTAGTCAATAATGCCTATGTTAGGTCTCAGCCCCATAACTGCATTTCACTTCTCAGTTGTCTCATTAAAGGGAGATGAACTGCTCACCTGTTTACAATTAAGCACATGTTTAAGTGCTTGCTGCATTGGAATCTATTGCTTGGTAGTTTAGATACAATTTATTCCATCCATTGCACAAATTGTTGTTACATTTATTTTTTTTAAATTATTATTCCTGTTTTGCCAAGTTTGTCCATCTGGGAACAGGATGTTTTCTTCATGATTCCTAATTTAAATTGGTATAAAATTTTATTTTTTAAAGAGTAATTTCAGCAATGTGTCCATTAACATATCTTTATTTTTTCTGACTGGGAGCTTTTAATTGTAGCTGGTGTGTTTAGAGCTACAAGCTGTGATAATCAACGTGTATCTGCTTCCCTGCTACTGGTGGCAAAATCTTTCATGTATAATCCAATTCATTTAAATAAAGTAACTTAAAAATTACAATAGCAGTGATTCTACCATTCATGGAACTAGAAGTATATGTTGTCTGTTCCAGTTAGAGAGATTAAAACTCAGTAAAATTGCTTTTTGTTTCTTTTCAGCAAAGAGTTCTGATTTTAAATTTATAATTACTGAGGGGTTTAAAATATTTAGTAGACCTCGGCTGATTAAAGATATTTATGGTAAATCTAAATATTCATTATTGAATTATTAAAATGTTTATATTCAAACTAAAATACTATTGTTTTCAATAGATTATTCCAAGAACTCTAAAGCCCTTCTCCCCAAGTACTCATATAGTGCAAGATGGTCTATTTCAGGTATGATTTCTTATTAGTATTCAAAGTTGAGGTTCACATTTTAAATAACCCCCAAGCCTCTGGTCGTTCAGATCCACAGTCTTGTTCCAGCTCTAACTCCAGCATTAACACAGCAAGTCAGTCAGCCTCACTAATTGCCAGCACCACTCCCTTGCTACAGTGATGTCGGTTGAAGGATTTATTTAAGACAGTAAATCCAACAACTTGAAAAGAACAAATTACACAAAATGTATTATGTAGCAAAATCTAATGGAGTTCTGACTCTGCTTGCCTCAAACAGCCTGCTCACTTTTTCCTTTCCGTGGCAGATCATGCATTCTTCTGGGACAACATGCAGGAAGAGCTTGCAAAGATGACCTCTGTCTCTTCTTTTAACCTGATAACATTATCAAGAGTAATCCAGACATCAGTTTCACTGTTATCTGGTTTGCCTTAGCATTCCTTCCCGACTGACTGTATTCTCATGCAAACTCTCCCTTTGTTCTCCCACAGAAAGGTGCTGGGGAGGATTAGGAAGTTTCTGCCATAAAAACAATAGGTAAAACCTTGTTCATTGTCTATTCTGTCCCTTAAAACAAAAGCAAGATGAAACAACTTTGGTTTAGAACTAGTGTCCAGAAGGTGTTCTCTCTTTCAAAC